GTAACGTCTCCATTGGAGACTTTGTTGTTACTGTGTCTGGCATATCGAGTACTCTCGGTAGCTTGCCGGGCTCTCCGAGAGGGGCGGAGGAATCGAACTCGGGTTGGCCATGTTGGCCGCTTGTAAGGTGAACGCCCTACCGCTGTGCTATCGCTCCAGCCCAACAAAGTCTCCAATGGAGACGTTACTGGGCCCGCTCGAGCAAATCTACTGTAGAGTGAAAAGAAATGATATAAATGAAACAAAATGATGTTTCAAAATTATAGACCAAATTCCTCCAGATTCTTCTGCATACTCTTACACTCCCACTATATTCACTTCAAAATCAGGGCATGGAGTCTCCTGCCCCCGTGCCTGGCTGTCCTTGCCGGGGTCCCTTGGAGGGGGGTGGGTTGAGTTTCCCTCCCCACCCCGAGCAGAGATCTGGCAGCCAAAAACCTCCAGATCAGCCACAAGCATGCTGAGACCACTCTCCACATGCATGAAGGTACCACAGAGGAACAAAGGCATGTGGGTCCTGGGGTTGAGATCTCTAAGCCTGCTTGGATCAGGGCTGAGCATCCTCCACCCAGATCCTCCATCTTCCAGTAGGCGGGGTCACACCCACCAACACCGTGTAATCCCATCAATGGCCAACACCCAGAGACTATAAAACCCAGCTCCCGGAAGCGAGCGGTCGCATTTGTGGCTGCGAGACATCTTATCTCATTCTTGCTTTGGACAACCTGGCAGGTATACCGAATGTTACCTGCCCACACGGCAGAGTCTGGCAAACTCTCCGTGGCTTACCCAATATGCCAAATACCAGTAACAATGTTGGGTCTCATTCTCCTAACCCTGAAAGAGCCTTGAATATGGCACTTTTTAAAATCTTAGGGCTAGGGCAAAGGAGACGTTACTGTTGCCTGCTCGAGTCAATCGATGGACAACAGGATGATCGTGATCGTGATTGATGCTTACTGTATCTGCCATAAGATCATCAGTTGTTCTCTCTTTCCTCCAGCACATGCCTTTCATACATGGACAAAGCAAGCAATTCACCAGGAATTTTTCTATGACTTCAAATGTCTGATTTAAGAAATATCTTTAGAGACAGGGATATATGGTGTTAGAAGATGGTCTTAGATTAAAACTTGAAATTATTTCTACTACCAACAAGTTTACCTTTCAAATCACTAACTTTCATAAATTGTGTTCATACCGTTTATAGAAAAATAATAGTCACCTTATATAATTGTTCAGAAGAGTAAAGGGGAAAACATGCACAAAATGCCTGCTCATAGCGAGCAATAATTTACTGGAAGAGTTATATTGTTATGGTATGATTTTGTTACTCTAACTCTGGATTAATAGCTAAATTCTTCTTTTATTTGTCTTTCATAATTTAGTTTAATGAGCTCCTGTATGTCTCATATTTGGGCAACTTGATTGGAAGCCAAGAAATATCTTTCTAAATGTTAGATGATTTTTGTCTTATAACCACATATTCATGTTCCCTCCAGATTATCCCACATAGCATTTTGTTGTTTAAATAGAATTTTAAGGTCACAGAGAAGAGTTAATTTAATGAGTAAAAATTAAAGGATAAGTTAGAAAGATCACTTTACTGGAAGCAGTATCATTCCTCTGTCTTGAGGAATACAGTCTTACATGTTGACTCACTCCCTCCATCTTGTTTTTGGCATTATTTGTGAGTTAAAGTACCAGGGCGATGTTGCTATGTTAAGAATTGACATTTCATGAGTAAAATATAAGTCAAACAATAGCCAAGAATAGATTAGAATAAATCACTGAGATTTAATTAGTCAACATTTTTCTTATTCCTATGGCACAATTTAATATGGATTTTTAGAACTGAATTTTTTGTTATTATTCCAACTAAGTCAAAAAATAAAGAATTTTTGGATTGTGTACTGGGTAAGGAATTTGCTAACCCCTTGGATATAGCTAACCCCTGTCACCACCAGGAGTAACCACTGGGCATTGCTGGGTGTGTTTTTCCCCCTCACCCCACCCCCCCAGCCATGAAACATTTTCCCATCAAGAAATTCTATTTTATACTTGGTTTATATTTATTGTATTATCCAGAGCAGCACTACACAGCAAGAGCTGTACAGATAAAACATACAGAATGTTCAAATATTTTTTCTCATTTGAACTTTTTGCTTATTCTCATTGCTATTTAATTTTCTATCAAAATTTTGACATCTTTTAGGTTAGGTACATCTAGGAAGGAAGTCACCCTTTATCCATCATGATCTTCTTGCTGTCTTGTGAGAACATAATCCATAAAGACACCCACTAAAGCATACTAATTGACTTTGGTATGCTTCACCAATCCTTTTTCATTTAGTTTCTTTTACTCACTTAAAACTATTAGGTCAACTAAGAAAATAAGGACAATGGTGTTTTGTAGTAAAAACTTTTTGGATATGTTCAATCTACACTAGATACCTACAATGTTAATAATGATTAACAATTTGGTCAATGTTCTAAGGATTATACAATGGGAGAAATATAAAATTGGCCTTTAATAGAGGAGAACAAATGTAGCCACTAATTTTAAATTCACAGATACAGCATAATTAATAAAAAAAACTTCGTCTTAATTTGCTATTCTATTATTTTCTTTATGTTTGTTTTGGGGACATACCCAGGGTTTCCTCTTGGCTCTGTGCTCAGGACTCACTTGGCAGCATGTAAGGCAAGTGCCTTACCAGCTCTCCTGTTCCTTTAGCCCCTGCTATTCTAGTTTTAGGTCATTTTTTGTCTAGTTGTGAATTTAAAGTAGGTGGTTCCTTGCATTAGAAAAAAGAAAAACTATATTCATGTAGTTGCTCATAGAATTTAGTCAGCATAGGAGCTTTTGAGAATTCAATTAAAAAGGCCTGCAATGACCAGCTATTTGCTCAGAATAAGAAGTAATGGAATGCTAGTACTGCGGGTAGGGCGTTTGCCTTCCATGTGGTCCATCTCGGTTCGATCTTCGGCATCCCATGTAGTCCTCCAGCATCACCAGCATCTTCCTGAGTGAAGAGCCAGGATTTAACCCCTGAGCATCACCAGGTGTGACCCAAAAAGAAAAAAAAAAGTAATGGAAAGCATCATGTAGAGGGACATTTTTTCTATTCTGCTATCCACGCTAGCTTGGATAGGCAAAGATCTAGGAAAGAAGATCTTTGTTCTTGCTTTCATGGAATACTAGGTAAAATTAAATGATACTTTAATTGTGAATTTGATAATCAATAATGGTGAATTGTGGATGGGAGACATTAAAGCAATTTTTTTTTTAATTTACATGCTCTTAGCTTGGAAGGTTGTCCAAATATTATCTTCAACTACAAGCCTCAGTGTTCCCTATTGCCTCCCATGGTAACTTTCTATGTCCTGTAGAAATTCTTTTTCATATAAAAAATTTAAATACCTTGCCTAAATAATTGATCTATTTAAATATGTTTTCTTTAAAAACTGTGCAGTAAATATATGTGCACATATAGTGCTTCTAATTATTTATTTCTCTATCTATGTATTTAGTTTACAAATCTTGGATGTTATGCCTCATAACAATTCTTCCTGCAGAAAAGTTAAAATGAATGATTTTTTTATTTCACTACAGTTTTTAAGAAGCATTATATATTTTTTAACATTTTAAATATTGTATGTATTTATATATTGCCTGAAAGATAATATTTTAAAGTGTATCTATATAGGTATAATAAAAATATTTAGGCAGCTACATATTACAAACCTTTCAGAAATTCAATGTCAAGATATATATATATATATATATATATGATTTAAAAGTAGGAATAGGAATACAAAGAGACAGTTGATTAGTACATAAAGATTTTATTTAAAGTTTTTTCCTTCAAGCAAGCTTCATTTATACATTCTAATACTGTACAAAATTTACATTCTTTGTGACTTATTTATTCACTTTTCACTTTCTAATAGTTTGTGTCTTTCTGAAACACAGAAAGCTTTACTTATAGTTCTCATAAATGCTTTTATTTTGGCTAGAAATAAAAAATAAATGAAGAACAGTTATAAGGAAAGCAAAATTCCTTGTATAAACTGACTTTAAGAAGAAATGATGAGAGCTGATGATAAAGATTCTGAAGCAGACCTTGTTCTCTCCATGACGTCAGCAGGGATTTTCCCATAAAGTACTGTAACTTTTCTTTCTATATATTCTTATGCTTTCAAGGAAAAAGAAATGAAAGTTGATTGCACTGGATATATATATATATATTTATATATATATTTTTTACAACGGATCCTTTGGATCTGAACATACAAATAAATACAAAACAACAAAGATTGCACTTTACTGTAGAAACGGCATTGGAATCCAGTACACCCATCCATCATGACATGCTCCACAGTGAAAGCGTATCACCAAGGCATTTTTAAAATTTGTAGTTTCCCCATATTGTTGTTTAGAATGACACATTTGTAGACGGATACAACAATATCTTGGGGTGACTAAAAATGTTTGGGGGTTTTATTCATCTCTCACCGCTGTTATTCCATCTCTGAAGAGCTAAAAGAACTGACTATGTTCCTGCCAGTTGTAGTCATTGATTGGCCACACTGAGACTATCTCATGCTTTCCTGACCTCTGCTCTTACACTCCTCATGCTCCTAAAGACAACCAGCAATTGCTCACTTAACTGAGCTCAGGCATCTCTGGTGATTGCAAACAAGTATGATGAGGGGAATGATGAGGGTAAATCATGTGCTACTCTAGAACCAAATCTAGGGTCATTTGAAAAGGGAAAGGTGAGGAAAGGGGGAACATATTTTAGGAACTTTCTAAGTTGCATGTTTTAGGGACAGAGAGACATCTAGCATTGTACTAAAAAGAAATTCTCCTTTTTTTCTGTCTTTTGATGCTTGAAAGAAATCTTCCAATTTTCATTATGGGTTGTTTGGATCTGTTGTATATTATAGTAGGCTGATTTGTCAGTTCTACTATCTGAAATAAATAAAAGGTGTGTTCATAAGATATATTGCAAGAAAAAAAGAGAAATCACAAGCCTTGATAACTGAATAGTGACATACTATACATATTTTCTCCATTTTTAAAGATAAATTTGATGAACAGAAATTTTGACTCTGGTTAGCCTAGAATCTATAGGGTAGAAAGCAATTGCTACAAAATACAATATCTTTCTCTTCTCTTGTTCCATTAGGTTCTGTTAAGGGCAGAAATTATAGAAAGAAAAACTCTCCTCATTAATCTGAAATGATTTTCTATAATTGTGTTGCCTATGGAGTCTGTGAAGTAGCCACAGATTAGGAATATAGAATCAAGTGGCAATTTCTGCAATGCAGTTGTAGGTATTTTGGTGGGTCCAATTTCAAATCATTTATGAACACAATATCCCCAAAACTTTAACATAGAGCACATGCAGGTAGATTACAATGCACAATACTGATCTTAGGTCTCTCTGGGGGCATTCTTCTGTATTTTATCTTTCTCCTTTTTGAAGTTAAGGTCCACATGAGTTTTTGTAAAACTGGGAGAAGTTAAAACCAGTTTGAAATGGAAGCGACAGTCATCACAGAATGTTTGGTGTGATCTGAGTTTCAGACTCTTTAGCTGTTCAAGAACAGGTCTTTTGCTTTTGCAGTTATTTGTAAATCATCAGAAACTGAAGGTGGATTTCTGCAGTTGTACCATTAGAATGCATTGATCCGAGCATAACAGTGATGTCACCTGGCACTCCTAGAATGTGATACTGTTCATTCCAGGGCTTCCTGGTATTATTTGTTATAAGGTACACAGGCAGGCAGGATGACTGTTGCACAAGCTGGGCCTGCCAGTGGTTCTGCCACATCTCCTTCGAGTTCTGTCCAGGTGCCTTTTTCAGGACAATAGCATATTGTAGATGACTTGTAGGCCCCCTGTAATGGCAAAAGGAGAGAGCATTTGAAGAAGGAAATTCACAGACATATAAGGGTGATCATATAATATTTTCATAGAAAAGAAAATATTGATTCCCTGCTCTAGCTACAAAATTCCACAAGCTTTTTTCCAAGGGAAAGTTAGAGATTGACAAGGTTTTAAAATTGTATGTGTTTGTGTGATGACAAAAGTCAAGCACCCAGAATGTCCTAGATGGTCAAAGTCCTTTAAAACTAACCAGACACTGGAAATTATCCAGCTGTTTTACCTTAAAAGAAAAGCAAAATTCACCTTAAGTATCCAAAAAATTGAAGTAATTTGCAATTTAGATTGCTGTCTCACTATCCCATTTTCATATTACTGCACTGTCACTGTTCTCCCGTTGTTCATCAATTTGATCGAGTGGGCCCAGTAATGTCTCCATTGTGAGACCTGTTACTGTTTTTGGCATATCAAATACATCACGGGGAGCTTGCCAGTACTGTAGAGTATAAGAGTTGAAATTCAAAACCAGTTTAAAATAAACTTGAGGACTTGCCAACTCTGTCACATACTTCATTCATTTTTAAAATTTTTTTGAGTTTTTTAATTAAAAATTTATTTTATTAAAGCACCACAAGTTACAATACTTCATTTATTTTTTGAGTCCCCATAAGAAGTATCTAATTTTCTGGAATTTTTTTTTTTTTTTGGTTAGCTTCTGGAGCTAGAGCTTATATAACGCTTTCCTCTGTAACCAAAACAGCTTTGTTTCTATCAAAGGAAACAAACAAAATTTACAACTAAATCTAATGATCTGTTTTTGAAAGTATACTCCTGGTGTCTCATTCCAAACATTTAAACTCTTGCAGCTAGTAACCCTACACCCAAATATCTAGTTACATTTGAGTACAGATTTGCATCTATATAACTAATAACCTGTAAAAGCTTCTCCAAAACTTTATATAGCAATGTTGTCTGATGTAAAAGAAATAAAGCCCTAGTTAAAATTCATCTTAATTTCAGCACCAGATCAAATTCTAGAGCCTCACATATGCGAGGCAAATACTGTTATTGCTGAGCCCTATCTCCAGCCTCCCAATTTAAACTGGAAATTGTAAAAACAGTCATCATTTAATAAGTGAATATGCAGACCATTAGATTTATGTGTCTCTCCATTTTGCTGTAATTTGAATTACACTTTCTCGGTGTACTTGCCAAAAAGTGAAATAAAATTAAAAGGTAGCAATAAGAAGAAAAGGGAACTTAAATTCTAACATTGCAGTTTCTAAAAAATAAGCACTTGTGGGTTATTTTGTTTTATTGTTTTTTGTTTAAATATTTTAATTAGCACCGCAGCACTGTCCTCCTGTTGTTCATCGATTTGCTCAAGTGGGCACCAGTAACGTCTCCTTTGTGAGACTTGTTGTTACTGTTTTTGGCATATCGAATATGCCATGGGGAGCTTGCCGGGCTCTGCCATGTGGGAGGGATACTCTTAGTAGCTTGCTGGGCTCTCCGAGAGGGATGGAGGAATTGAACCTGGATCAACCGTGTGCAAGGCAAGCCCTACCTGCTGTGCTATTGCTCCAGCCAAATATTTTAATTCATTGTCACTGTCCTCCCGTTGTTCATCGATTTGCTCTAGCAGGCCCAGTAACATCTCCATTGTGAGACTTTGTTGTTACTGTGTTTGGCATATCGAATACGTCAAGGGTAGCTTGCCAGGTTTTGCCATGTGGGCAAGATACTCTCGGTAGCTTGCCGGGCTCTCTGAAAGGGGTGGAGGAATCGAACTTGGGTGGGCCATGTTGGCTGCGTGCAAGGCAAATGCCCTACCTGCTGTGCTATTGCTCCAGCCCTAATTTAGGCATTGTAATTTACAAAGTTATTCACAGTTGAGTTCCAGGCGTATAATGTTGCAGTACCAATCCCATCACTGGTGTCAACTTCCGTCCACTAATGATTCTCTCCTACTCCCTAGTTTGCCTCCTAAGATAGACACACTTTGAAGTTTGGTTGTTGTAGGTTGAACCTCATGCGTTCAGTGTTGTTGGCTCTGTGGTTCAGATACAGAGATATACCACAGCTCTACACCTCCAATGTGTCGAGGTCCATGCCCGTTACCCCTCTTACTTTCTTCCTCATTACCTCTGTCTCTCCTCTTCTTAGTTCAACCCCTTTCAGCACCCCTTTCCCGTTCCTTTTCTTCTCTATTGAGGGTTATATTAAGCAACACCACAAGGAAATTACTAATTAATTTTAGAATGTTGGACATTCTATAAGCTAATTTTACCCTCCTTTTCAAAAGTCAATGGCATGGAAAAAGAAGTGAGGCAGGATAATTTTTACAGATTGCAAGAGATGTATGAGATATAATAATCAAGTACAAGTAAGCCTTATTGATTTCTGGTTTGAACATATCACCTTGAAGAATGTATTTTTTCTCTAATAGGAGAAATTTAAATATGGATTGGATATAAAGAAATCATTATTAATTTGATTTGGTATCATGATGTAGTGTGTTTACATAAGTAAATTATTAAGATATTGAAGCATTGAAGGTATAATAACGTAAAGTCTGGAGTGTGCTTCAAATAATTTGGATCAATTTTTTTGAAAAGGTGGAAAGATAAAAATTATAAGATGTTGAAGCTGAATGACTCCATATAGTCTCAATTTGTATATATGCTTTGAAATTATAATAGAGATAAGTGAAAAGTAAATAGCAATTTATTTTATTTTGTTTTGTTTTGGAGTCGTAGTTAGCAGTGCTTGGGGCATACTCCTGACTGAATTCAGGGATTACTCCTGGTGGATTTGAGGGAGCATATATGGTGACAGGGATGAACTCCAGGTTAACCACATGCAAGGCAAGCACCCTACCTGCTGTATGATTGCTCTGACCCCCAGTAGAGGTAAACTATATATCTGAATTATTAACTTAAGCATATTGAATAATTCATTTCCAATTTTAATTCATTATTGATCTAGAATTTTTCAGGTACTTCAAATAATTTTAACACAAATACTTGCAAAACCACTTCAGTTTATTTTTAGCTGGAAAGTCAGAAAAAAGTAACAGGAGAAAAGAAAATCATTTTATTGCACTTTATGATACGGATGAATAGCAAACTATTCTACAGCAAACATAATTTTTCTCTTTTACTACTTAAAGTACCTTATTTATTTATTTTTGTGTATATATATATGTATGTGTACATACACACACATATATTTCTCTTGAAAATGTATATGTGGGGCTGGAGCGAGTATGGCAGGTAAGAGTGCTTGCCTTGAAGAGGGATGACTGGAGTTTCATCCCTAGCACTCGGTATAGTCCCCTGAGACTGCTTGTGGTGAACCTTGGGAACAGAGCCAGGGGTAAACCCTGAGCACCGCCCGATGTGGGCCAAGAACACCAACAACAACCCCAACCAAACAAAGGTACGCATTGTAGGTAAACCAAACAGCCGGTTCAAAACAAAAAAAAAAAAGAGGAGGAGGTAGAAGTGAATACTTACCATACTCCAGCTGTAGCCTCCCACTAGGTAAATGCTGTCGTCAAGCACTGCACAGCCAGGCCCACTTCGACCCTCCAAAATGGGAGTCTGAAGAATGTTCCACTGGTCACCTTTTGGGTCATAGCACTCTACAAGCATTACATCAAGGTGGGAGAAACCTAAGTGGTAGCAAAATGAAACCACAGAAACATAAATCGTGGGTCCCAGTTTAAAGCAAGGGACTTCCTTAATTTAAAAACAAAGGTCTGTACTAGAATTACAAAGTAGATAACTTATGTATGGTTTTTGGAGATACACACCTAAATGTATTTGTGGAATTGGGAGATGGTCAGGAAAAAAAAATCCACCCTCAAAACCAAACAAACCAATACACTATGGGTGTTGTGGATTAATTCCAAGTAAGAATGTCTAATTAGATGTCCTTGGTAAAGACTGATTATATGAGAGTAGTTCTTATTGAAAATCTTACTTTAAACGGCTTAAATATGATAACAGCTACAGTAAGACTTTATAGAGTGCTTAAAATAAGTTATTTTCTAAATGTTTTACATAGATGCATGCACTTAATCCCTTTCTACTACTCTCTGAGATACCATTATATTAATTTTATCAATGAGGAAACTAAGAGACAGAATTCATGACTTAAATGTCACCCACCCACAAGTAGACAAACTGAGATTTGAACACAGGCCTTAAAACTATATTTAGCATAATTTTGGACTTTAAAACACAGTATATGTTTGTAAACAGTGAGTGGTTTTTAATATCAATGTCTAGAGCAGGGAACTAACTTTCACTGGACAGCTTCTACTCTTCCTTTTAATAAAGTTTCTTAGTGCAAAAACTATGTCACAGAGAATAATCTAGGTCCCTAGATTCTATTAGAGTCCTGCTTTTATTTTAGGGAGTCAAAAATTCCCACTGGGAGCTTCATGGTCACTGAGCTGACCAAATCTTTAACGATTTTTCCTCCTAATTAAATGCAAGTTAGAGATATTTACTAGCTGACGTTTGCAATGCACTTACTAAATTAACCAACATATTGGACTCTCAAAAGTAATTGAGAAGATAGAACAAAAGTGGATTTCTTTTCATTTTTGAAGAGGTAGACAGATTATTTAGGGCCATTAACTTTTTACACATACAATAAATCACATAGATTTTGGGAACAATGTAGCTTATTGCAATTCTGGAATATATTCCTTTCCTTTACCATAAAGTGGTTGATGACCATTGCAACTCTGGGATATGTTCCTTTCTTTACCATAAAGATGTTGATGACAATTTAAAAATATTTTATGATCATTTTAAAAAGCATCCATATAAAGAGGAATTAGGCAAATCTCTGATTCTGAATTTCTCATGGTGTTTTATAAGGATATGTGTGCTTTCTCTATGCCAAGTACCGACAGCTGACTGTAATGTTTACTACAAAGGAAATTATCCCTATTTTACAAACAAGAGGTTAAATCCCATTTGTTGTTGTTGTTGTTGTTTTGTTTTGCTTTGTTTGGGGGGCTATATGTGACTGAGCTTTGGGCTTTGTGTTCAGGGATCACTCCTGGAGGTCTTTGCAGGGACTAAATGTGGTGCTGGGAATGGACTCAGGCCAACAGTATGCAAGTCAAGTGCCTTACCCACTATTCTATCTTTTTTGACCCCAAGAGTTTAAATATCTTGAATAAGACAACACAGCTGTAAAAGTGTCAGAATTTAATGGATTCAATCTCAGACTCTAAGTCACAGCAATGTCACTTAAATTATCATTATTCAAGTCTTTCTCCTCAAGTGTGGACTTAAATATTAAAGTTATAAAATATTTAGGAAATCGCGTGCCTAAAATTTTAGTAAAAATCATGTCTTAATATAAAGTATATTGATGTAGAGGAATAGAATATAAATGGAAATAGAGAAGCAGCAGTGAAAGAGAAAAAGAATAAAAAGAGAAATGTGGGGATCTGGGAGAGGGTTGGTACATAGGCTCTGCCTGTGTGGGCCCAAGTTCAATTCCTAATACTTCATGGTCCCCTAAGCACTATGTGGTCCCTTGAATACTACTGGTAGCAACCTCTGAGCACCACAACAGGAATAGCTCCTGAGCACAACCAGGTGTGCCACAAACCAAAAGCAGACAAAGAACTCAAACAAAAAGAAATGTAGCAGAAAATGCACGGGGAGAACATTAAGATAAACAGCCAGAGGTAGACTAGGATATTGACATTTCCAATTGCATTTGAACTGGAAGAAATTTACATAAATAATGTTTACTTGTTTAGTCTTTATTACATTTATTTATAAATATGTAATAGGAAAAACACAAAAATGTGTGGGTTTAACTCACTTTTCTTAGAGTGGGGGGCCCCCCAGACATATCCAGGGACTTGAAACCTCCTTCCAGCTATGAGCAGTCTGGTGGTGTGGGCCCGAGCTCAGCCCAGCCCAGTGATTTGGTGTTGCTCAGGTCCCACTGCGTGGCAGCCACCAGAGCCACCCCAGCAGTGCTCAGGGACCACTAGAGCTACATCTATAGTGCTGAGGGGACATAAGATGCCCTCATGAGCTATCCTCCTGATCCTGTTTAGCCTGTTTTTAAAGATGGGTGTGCTATTGAAAGGTAAATGATAGATGAACCTTATCCACCATAATCAAATAACCATATTTCAAGGGCCCTCGAAGGTCAGAGCTGGAAGAGATTTTAAAGCTTAACTAGATCACGACTTAATTTTTCAGACGAGAATGAAAAGATCCAAAGCAGTTCCACAACATGCTCAGTATCACAGCTTTCTTGTTAAGTTCAATGTTATATGCATGCATATAAAAAGAGGCTCCATATGCATAAGTGTGGAAGGAAAGGAGCCAAAAGATGGTTTTCTGTAGACTATGTTTAAAATAAGTTTACTCATTAATAAAAGCAAAAAGAAAGAATTTGAGAATCATAGCATGATATTGAGTTCATTAAAGGAATCATTCTTAATTCAGATGAAATTCTAAGTGTTTTATTTAAGAAAATTATGTATTTACTTCTTTATGGAGCTTTGATTGAAGTTCTTTATGATTACTACAAAAAACAATTTTCTGGAAAAATACATTACTGTAACATTGGTGATAAGGAATAATTTATTTTACTGAATTCATTGTTACAACAAATTGTGCTTTTCAGTTATTAATGTTCTCGGTTTTTATTTTCTGCAGACATCATTATTCATTTCTTTAATGTGTGTGGTAACTTAAAAATAATCCTCTCTGCAAAAGAGCCAAAATAAATGCTTGCCCAAGGGTACTGCTAATTTACACAGAGTAGATTTTATTTGGTCAACATGTTTTTTACTTGGTTAACTATGATTATCTAACGAGAAACCCCCTTAGCAAGGAACATGAGATGCAAATGCTATTGAGATTTGAAAAAAAAAAAGACCTTTCAAATGATTTCCTCCAATTGCATACAAGCGATCATTCATTACAGCCAAAGTGTGGATGGCGCGTTTTGTGTTCATATCTTGCTTTCGAGCCCAGACATCCATTACAGGGTCATAGCAATATAGCCAAGGGACATATTCTCCATTATGTACACCCCCTGTGAATTAAGCATATACATACATACAAGTCAAGAAAGTGCCTTGAACTGAACTTTGCGGTAGAAAGTGGAGGAATGACTTGCCTGAAATGTAAATCTTCCCGTTGTGCACTGCTCCTGCGTGAGCGGCCAGCGGCTGAGGCAAAGAGGACACGTAACGCCATTCGTTGGTTTCTAGGTTGTAGCACTCCACGCTAGACAAGTAGCCGGTTTCATTCCTTCCACCAATAACGTATAAATGCTTGTCCAACCGACAGGCATAGAAACTGGCTCTTCTACAATGAAAAAACTCATCATCAGTCACCAAAGGGGACTCATCATGGACTTCTTCAGGTACATCCTAGCTCAGGAAGGGATTACGTTCTTGGAATGTGTCCACCTTCTAGATCTGATGGATTACCCACGATGGTTAACAATTTTATATTAAATAGTAGAGGAGAAATATACCAATTCTTTGGTTTTGCCCTTTTTATCTTTTTTTTACTTCCACTGTTAAAATAGTCATTAATATTTGGGGTATTTGATACCTTTTAAGGATATCACGGCTCAGGAAGACAAAGTGAAAACTGAGGTAGATAATATAACAATAATAAATTATCTTGACATTCACTTTCCTTACGGTCCTTCAAGGGTCATTGTTCCCAATTTATAAGAGAACTACATCATCAAAATTTTTCTTCAATTATAATTTTTTTCTTCTACCCGCCCCTTCCTTCCCACCCCCTACTTCTGCAAATAGAGAAACTTTTGTGAGCTGAATGTAGAACTGGAATTATAGGATTTTCACATAGATAGCTTTTGCCCTTACATTTTATATAGCTATGGGACTTTTTTCCCAAATAGACTGTTTATTACATTATCCCATGATGTTATCAAAGGCAAAAGATATAAGCTGTGTTGAAAGGAATGGAATCAGGGAAACAATTCTGATATAGGCCACATACCAGGAGTGAAATATTGAGGATGTAAATAGAATTTTAGAAGACACAGAAAGGGGGATGCAAAAGGTATTTTAAAAAGGTTATTTATTTATTTATTTATTTATTTATTGAATTATAGTGAGATACACTCGAGTGGGCCCAGTAACGTCTCCATTAGAGACTTTGTTGTTACTGTGTTTGGCATATCGAATACATCACGGGTGGCTTGCCAGGCTCTGCCATGCGGGCGAGATACTCTCGGTAGCTTGCCGGGCTCTCCGAGAGGGGCGGAGGAATTGACTCGGGTTGGTTACAAGGTTGTTCATGATTGGGTTTCAGTCATATAATGTTCCAATGTGTGTCCCTTCACTAGTGTACATTTCCCACCACCCATTTCCCTCTCATCTTTATGGCAGTACTTCTCTCTCTCCCTCTCTTTCTCTCTCTCTCCTCACTCTCACTCTCGCTCTCTCCTTCTCTCCCCCCCCACTTCCTCCTCTCTCCTTTGGGCATTATGATTTGCAATACAGATACTGAAAGGTTATTAAGGTGATTATGCATATCCCTTTACCTAGCAAAAGGTACTTAAAAGGATGATGTAAGTTAACAAAATATTTGTGGGAGAAAAAGGCTTGAAAAAGACTTGAAAAATTAAAGTTAGATTGATTAGTTTAAATCTTTTTTTTCTCCTTTTTTGTTTTTGGGTCACACCTGGCAGTGCTCAGGTCTTACATTTGACTCAGCATGGTGCTGGGGTCAAACTCTGGTTGGCTGCCCACAGTACCATCTCTCCAGGTACTGATGAGTTGAATCTTAAGCAAGTCTTTGACTCTTTGCTTTATTTTTCTCATTGATGCTAAGGGAATAAAATACAGTATAAGGATACCATTTTGTCCAATATTTGTTAAGTGCCAGTCTTCGCATAGAATATAATTTACATTAGATGTATTAGTGGTTTTCATAAAAATTGATGTCCAGACTTTTGACATTGACATCGTCAATTGAAACACTAGAAATCCCTGAATATAATTTTTGTTTTGGCTTTTTGGGTCACACCCAGCAATGTTCAGGTGTTACTCCTGGCTCTGCACTCAGGAATTACTCCTGGGATACCATTTGGAATGCTGGGAATCAAACCTGCGCAAGGCAAACGCCCTACCCTCTGTACTATGGCTACAGCCCCAAATCCCTTGAACTTTCTTTAGTTTACAAAATATTCAAGTTGAGCTCACAAAGATGCCAGATCTCTCTGAAGACATATTGCCTGGTTGTATAATTTATTGGGTGTGTGTCCTTTGACCGTGACCGTGTCCTTTGATATGTTTTTTAACCCCTCTAAGAGGATGCTCAGCTGTATCATGGGGATACTAATGTTACCTTCCTTTCAGGCATATTTGCAAATATATATAGAAGGTTCATATACATGTATTTTGTTCATGCTCAGGAACCAAGCATAAAGTTTACAAAAATCAGTCAAGATGTTTGCCAATAAAATTTTATTAGTATTTTAAGTTGCAACTAAATCCTAGAAACTTCTTTTAAATGTTTATTTAGATAGTATATTACCATATGGAATTGGTATATGTTTTCTTTTCCATCTTTTATTTTTTAATTTAGGCACCAGGATTTACTAAAGCTTTTAATAATCAAGTTTGGGCATTCATTCTGGGATTCATTCAGTTTCTGGGATTGACATATACTGTTGATGATAAAATATTTATTCTTATTTTTTCTATTTTTTTGAGACATAACTGACAAATAAAATTGTAATACATTTAAAGTATACATGTGATGTTTCCTATGTGAATATCTTGTGAATGGGATTCCAAAATCAAGTAACTACTTATTAAAAATACTTATTATTTTTTTTATGCGATAGCACAGTGGTAGGGTGTTTGCCTTGAGCGCAGCCAGCGCGGCTCAGCCAGGTTCGATTTCTCCGCCCCTCTCAGAGACCCCGGCAAACTACCTAGAGTATCTCACCTGCACGGCAAAGCCTGGCAAGTTACCTGTGATGTATTCAATATGCCAAACACAGTAACAACAAGTCTCAAAAAAATGGAGACGTTACTGGGCCCGCTCGAGCAAATCGATGAACAATGGGAGGACAGTGTTTGTTTGTTTGGTTTGTTGAGAATACTCAAGATCTATACACAGCAAAAGATCTACACAGAGAATGCTGTACATAATACAATATTATTAGCTATAGTCATTGCTGTGTATTAGATTCTCAGAACTTTTTTTTAAACTGAGAAATTACAAATGGAAGGATTTCCTTCTTTTATATGGCTGAACAATTACTATACATTTAAACATATATATATATGTGTGCACACACTACACTTTCTTTATCTATTTATCTGTTGCCAAATATTTATGTTGTTTAAGATCTTTGCTATTATGAATAGACCTTCAAGGAACATGGAAATACAAATACCTTCTGAAGATACCTTAAGTTTCTTTGGATATATATAGTTGGATATATATGTAGTAAGATGCTATGATTTTGTTTTTAAATAGTTCAGCTGTTTTTTAAATAGTTCTGGAACTTTCAGTTTTATTCATCATCTTAGGGAACTATATTGGCTCTGCTTATCTTTAAACTATTTTGTCTTGGTGCTTTTGAGAAATGTATGTTCTTTAGAAAATTCTGAAAGATGATAAAGAATACCAATACTAGAGAAATGATAAAAAAGACTAGAATTTTTAAAATGACCAAATAAGACATTTAACAATATAGGAGTTGTTAATATGAACCCAGTTCTTCTGAAGTTTATGAAGTTCTGAAATTGTAATAAAGTTTTAAGAAAACACTGTATGTTGATATTTGCATATGAGTATTTATAGAGGAATATGTTTGGATAAAGATTTGGGGGAAGCTTTTAATTTTAATTTGATTATCTAAGGATTTGCTAACCTATAAAATCTTGGGTTTCCTAATACAGTGGATAAAAATTCACCTAACTATAAAAATTAATTTTAAAAACAAATGTAAAATTAAGTACATAAGCATGAATTATTACTTCATTTCATTTCCCTAGCCAAATTTCAATTGCTCTCATTGAACACAATAGGACAAGGTTATTTTACTAGGGCTCTAAACTTCTTGTTAAAATGTTAAATTGAAAAGGCTGACACGTGTCTACAAAAATCCTTGTTAAAGTAAGACAGGTATATATTTACACCACTCACATAGGAATAGGTCAACACCTCTATTCCATACAATCCTATGAGAGGTCTTGGAGCCTTTGAAATCATTAACCAATTAAACAAATGGGTCTTCTTCACACATTTAAATAATTTAAACTTTGTGAGATGTAAAGTGGGTGAGATTTTTTTTCCCCACTGAAAAATGAGTCTGGAAGAGAAAATGCTTGAAGGCTATTAAGCATGACAACGCTGTCTTAATTCGAAGCTTAGACAGTGGAGAAATGTAAAAGCTCTCCCTTTGGTAGTGTGAATTCCTGTTATCTAGTCTTCATTTCAGTGCTCTCATATTTTTTGATTTGGTTCCTTCCCTATTGTGGCACCTGTCAAAACTTGTTCTCTTTTCAGCTGACACATTCTTAATTTGCTGCTCCGTGTGTACTCCTAGCTTTATCCACACAGTGTCACTGTTAGGATCTAAATGGGGGGAAAGTCAGTAAATTTCACTACCTGACTACAGGAGCAACCTTATATAGAAATTCAAACAGTGAAGATGCCCAGTCTGAGTTACTTCCCTGACTCACTCAAAGTGGAAATGCATCATAGAAACACTGATTGTTGCTGCTGAGACAGTGAACATTAGCTTAAGGCTAAACTTTCACTGACTACCTCTCTCTTGGAAACCTTCCCTCCCGTCTTTCTGGCATGAAGAACACACCTGGTGTAAGCTATTTTATTGATTGATTGCAAAAATTCAAGATTATCTATATTTTAATGAGATTGCATTATCTATATTTCAAAGGGCTCATTTCTTCCTCCCCTCGTCCCCCCTTCCACTGCCCTAGGCAATATCCAATATATTAAGATACTTTTAAAAGGGCTGTGCAAATCCGCAAACATGATTTGAGCCTTGCACAGCTACACGAGTCTTTAGAAGTTTTTTTTTTTTGACCCTTTGGGCAGTCAGTTTATATCCTAAAGCATAAACTTCAACCATCACAACCTTATAGATTGAATTTCTATTTTCATCATCACGTTGTAAAGGACAGTTTTCAAATAAGATGTTCTCACACCCTTTCTAGTGAGACAGCTAAAAACACTTTTCACTGTTCACTCTTCTCCCGTTGTTCACCGATTTGCTCAAGCGGGCCCAGTAATGTCTCCATTGGAGATTTTGTTGTTACTGTATTTGGCATATTGAATACGTCACAGGGAGCTTGCCAGGCTCTGCCGCGCGGGCGAGATACTCTCAGTAGCGAGATACTCTCGGTAGCTTGCCGGGCTCCGAGAGGGGCGGAGGAATCGAACTCGGGTCAGCCATGTTGGTTGAGTGCAAGGCAAACGCCCTACCCGCTGTGCTGTCACTCCAGCCCTGCTAAAAACAAAATATTTAAAATTGGACACACAGCTAAAGAATTTGCTTCAAGCTTTTCACTTGCTCTTTGAAACATCAGTTTTGTTGTTCTTCAAACTACTTTTTTTTCCTTTCTATTTTACCTCCCTCCCTTCCTCCCTTCTCTCTTTCTCTCCTTCCTTCCTTCCTTCCTTCCTTCCTTCCTTCCTTCCTTCCTTCCTTCCTTCCTTCCTTCCCTCCCTCCCTCCCTCCCTCCTTTCTTCCTTCTTTCCTTCCTTCCTTCCCTCCCTCCCTCCCTCCCTCCCTCCCTCCCTCCCTCCCTCCCTCCTTCCTTCCTTCCTTCCTTCCTTCCTTCCTTCCTTCCTTCCTTCCTTCCTTCCTTCCTTCCTTCCCTTTCCTTCTTTTTTTTCATCATCTAGGGATGACGATGGTAACATTTCTATAATAGTGGTCTAAAATTAGTCACCCAAAGTATTAACATTGATTTTTCATTTTCAACCTCTCCTTGCTGAAGAATCAAATCATAAATCCGATATCAAAACAACTCATTAGCACTGTAGCACTGTCCTCCCATTGTTCATTGATTTGCTCGGGTGGACACCAGTAACCATCTTCATTGTGAGACATTGTTACTGTTTTTGGCATATCGAATACTCTACGGGGAGATGCCAGGCTCTGCCGTGGCTGGCATATTCTCTCTGAGTAGCTTGCCGGGCTCTCTGAGAGGGACGGAGGAATCGTACCCGGATCGGCGGCGTGCAAACACCCTACCCGCTGTGCTGTTGCTCCAGCTCAACTCATTAACATTGCATTTAAATTTATATTTTCATATAGCCAGTTGTTCCATAAATATTTAGGGGCAAGACAGGCCATTCATGAACTGGCCCAGGGTTAAGTAAGCTTACAACTGTGTGAATGAGGAAGGTAATTGGCACTTCTATTACATATATATGTGTATATCTATCTATCTATCTATCTATCTATCTATCTATCTATCTATCTATCTAATTTTTTAGGACTTCTGATTGGTAGATCTATGCATGGTAAAATATTCCAGGAAACGAACAGCCACTTCTCTAAAGCTGGGGCATCCTAGAAGTGGCTAACAAGTTGTATCTATTAGTCTCAATCATTTTGCTAACTTCCAAGCTCCGTAATGACTTCTGTGCAGTTTTGTAACCGCTGAAGAAAGGGAGGAGGCAGAAAATCTTTGTTAAATTTGATTCATGAGCTATACAACACAAAACTAATTAAATGTTTCAAGAAACTTCTTCTCTGATCTGAAGAGTCTCATATATTTTAGTGTTTTGGTTTTTTTCCCCCTTCCTGCTTAATCACCAATTAAACCAAGCTAGTAACTGATAGTACTTGCTATTTTGAATGGAAACTTGGCAATGACAGAAAAAATTCATTTTAAGTTATGGATTGCTGCCTGGGTCAACCAACCCATAGGAGATATGGAGCTAGAAGATTGACTGGGCATTTGTGAGAGCTGCCTTTTCCCATTCAGCTCTGTAAGGAGCTCTTTATTTGGTCTATCGAGTTGATTGTTCCATATCTAAAAAAAAACTTCTTTTACTAGGGACCTGACATGATATACCATAATGACTTAGAAAGAAACGTTAAACAGTCCATCCTGTCAACGGTGGCTGCCGGATGCCGACGGACCATGGCAGGCCCTTTTATCAGGTCAATGAGCTGCTAAAAATTGTCTAAGTAGGACCCTGCCATGATAGGCCATAGTGCCTCAGAGGAAGTCATTATAGAATATCAAGTAAACAATACACATTTAAAAAAAATTACTAATTAGGTTTTGCAGCAATACTTCTCATCCTTAGGGGCTCTACAGTGAGATAATTGACCGCGACGTGAGTTATGCCTCCCAAACCGAAGGCATGAAGGTTAATTATCATGGTGTACAGCCCCCAGCAACGGGGCCCATGGTGATAAAATGCTGAAATTTCAAACATATTATTTATATTATTTTAGTTAATAAAATATTTTTTAAAAATGATTTTTGATTAAAGGGTAAAGTGATGCAGCAACAGTAAAAACAAGCAGAAAATAATTCCCCAAAGAGGAAAAGAACATGCAATAGAGAAAGATAACAAAGTTTTCTGTCACATGGATTTACAATAGGAGGACTGAGAGGTTGGTCAGGATTGGTTGACTTAGAATATTTTGTTTTATTTGTTTTACTTTTGGCCACATCCAGAGTTGCTAAGGGCATACCCCAGCTTTGCTCTCAGGGATCACTCCTGGTGGAGCTTGGGGAAACATATGGGATGTTGGATACCAGGTTTGACAGCATGCAAGACAAGTGCCCTAAATGCAAAACTATCACCTCAATCCCAACTTATAATACTTTCTTGAGACATCTTTGAACTAAACTAGACTTTTCTAAACATGTCATTGACCTTTACTATTTGTGCCCCATCATTTATGGTGTACAGTTCTTAGTTTCCTGTAAGAGAGATATAGTATATTCATGTGAAATATAGATATTAAGTACCTTTATAGCACAGATTCATATACCTTCCTATAATAATATATACATATTTAAGTGAATGGTATGAGGAAAACATTTTCTTTTAACTTTATAATTAAGGTTCTAATTTGAATTCAGTGTAATCTAATGGAGTATTTTATAAAAGGGATGTTAAGGTAAAGAGTCATGGGGTAAGAAAATTATTTCAAACATAATTCAATTGAGGAGATAGGTCAACCTTATAGTTACATCATATTTATAATATAGAATTTCTCAAAAGGATACTTATATATTGAGATTTTTAAAAAACAGGTGTTAAAATATGGTGTGTGATTTGCTAATGCATATTTAGACAACTTTCCATGCCTAGATTAGAGACAAAATATGTGTAAATGCAGGAGCCATCCTGAGTTTTGGTAGTAGGATACAAAGGTGATTAATTAAAAAATGAGAGGATACTTTTTTTTAGAAAACTAACAAATATGTCCTTGAATATCTGATGGAGGAATATATGAGAGGAAAATGAAGGGATTCAAATTATTGAGACATGAAATTTTTGATATTTCTGTACTAAACTACATCACTTTGAAAATGTTATTCTATAGATCAATTATGGTATCTAAATATATCATCACTAAGAAGAGTAGAATGGTCAGTGAGATTCTAGCTCTGCCTGCCAAAAATTTAATACAATGTATAAAGGTAGATGACTTATAAACTCTCACTATCCCTTATATTAGGACAAATTATTGATTGATTATTTTTCTCCTTTGAATTAACAAGCCAGTTGATTTAAATTGGTGAGGCCAAGTTTAATATTTTGCCTTATATGTTTTTCATCACCACATCATGAAAAACTATTTAGCGTTATGCCTCCTGTGAAGCGGTCACAAATAGATCAGATACCACATATAGGCACTTACCTTTCTTGCATGGGTGGGAGTTGTATCCAGCTATTAAATCGTGGGTCATATCGGCTGACAAAATTTGTACTGTGTTTTCCTGTAAGAATATATTTGAAACACTTAAAACTAGATTCTGGTGTTTCATACTTTTAATAGTATTTTAAGAGTTTCTGTTCTCAATTCACACATGTGTTAAATCTAAGTGGAGGGATTCTTAACACTGTATGACAAGCAACAAATTACTACAAGAACAAATGGGCTAACTTAAATCTATTTCCTGTTTTATTTTCTTCTCCTTATTGTTTTTGGAGGATGACTTGAAATAAAAATAAGTCAACATAATATCAAAAGTATGTTAAACAATTTTGTCACAAAATGAAGTAAAAAATAATCCTGGGTTTTAGTTTTTTGGTTTTGTTTTTGGCCCACACCTGGTTTGTTCTCAAGGCTTACTTCTGCACTCAGAAACTCAGGAGGCTGGTGGGCTTTGGGGGGTCATATGGAATACTGGGGATTAAACCAGCTTCAGCTGCTTACGAGGCAAGTGCCCTACCCACTGTGCTATGGGCTCCAGTTCCTGGGTTTTAGTGTTTTTATGTTGTAAAAATATGAAGCCATAGCCTATAAATAATATTTAGAGATTACCTTGTGTGATGTCTCCAGTTAAATAGAATCTTCTGGATTTACAAAGTTGTTAATATTAGGGCTTCAGTCATACAGTTCCCACTTTCAATCCCACCACCCCATGACCCCTGCACTCTACTAATGACCCCAGATTCCCTCCCCCAAACCCCAACTCCCGCTACAAACTTGTGACTCTCTGACAGATACATTTAAAACTTAATCACTATAGAGTGGGTTCCATGCTTTCAGTAGTATTGGCGCTAGTGGTATTATTATTAGATTATATTATTCTCAGATTTCATTGTCTTGCTTCCTTCCTCCATTTCTCTTCTTCTTTAGCATTTTGTTTCTGACATCTAGAGCCTCTAATTGCCCGTCTATGATACCACCATTCCCTAAATATGTATGCCATCCCATATACCACAGATTAATAAGAGCATTGAGCATTTGTCCTTGTACCTCTGACTTGCTTCATTAACATAATATTCTCTATTTTTATCTAAGTTGCAATATATTCATAATTCCTTGTGGCTGCATACTATTCAAGTATCACAACTTCATCATCCACTAGTGTTTCTGGACAGCTGGATTGCTTCCATATCCTAGCTATTGTACTAAGTGCTCCAATGAATACAGGTGTGCATATATCATTCCAAATGAATGCTTTTGTGTCTTGGCAGTAGATATCAAGAAGTGGGATCACTGAGTCATATGGGAACTCTATTCTTGTTCTTTAATGATAAAAGATACAAAAACTCTTGCTGTGGAGAAGTCTCCTCTCTTCACATGGATATAGTAGCAATCACTATAATGTGTTTGTATCTGGAAATTTATGCATGGGGAGTAGAGAGCTTCTGTGATATATCACAATCTTTTTTTTTTTGACTAAAATGGGAATCATGCATTTTGAGAGCTTGTTAACCAGGTTGTTCCCTCTGTTGAACCTATGAAGATCAGTAAAATCTCCAAAATATTGAGATGATTTTATTTTACAAATAGACTGAAACCCAAATAAGAAATAACTGCAGAATACAAGTGTATATTCCATTTTCTGTGGAGTGCTTGAAATGACAATAAACTTTTATCATTTTAGGTAATATACTTGAGATCTTAACTCCAAAAGTCTGTTTTAAATCCAGATGCTACAACTGAACATTGGAATACAGGTACTGACTTTACCACAGGAATATACAGAAAGAGTCTGTATATAGGGGCTGGAGCAATAGCACAGTGGGTAGGGCATTTGCCTTTGCATGTGGCCAACACGGGTTCAATTCCCAGCATCCCATATGGTCCCCTGAGCACCGCCAGGGTAATTCCTGAGTGCAGACCCAGGAGTCACCCCTGAGCATTGCCAGGTGTGACCCAAAAGCAAAAAAAAAAAAAGTCTGTATATAAGTCTGTATCCACGTGCACTCACAGAGGCATATGTAAATAATGCAGTTATTTATTATATAAATATGTTATGACTGCTGTCTTATGTATTCAAGGTTCTGGGAATATATTAGTTGAGCAAGATATGACAAAACTTTTGTCCAGGGAATATATTAATAAACAAAAAGACAAAACTCCTGTCCTATCAATAACTAGTTAAGTATATTAAGAGTAAATGTTGTGAAGAAAATAAGAATATCTGTAAAGCAGGGGTATGAGTTTATGTTCACAGATGTTTTCTGAAAGTCCTGTAAATATCTACCAGTGGGCTGGGCAGGGGGTGGAGGGGATGCAGAAGGCTGCTATGAGTTCAAAACCAGTGAAAGTGCTGGAATGCCTTGCACAGAAGTCAGAGGTTATCAAGGTTGATCAAAGTTATCAAGGTTAACACAGTAGATTGGTGTAGTATTGTGCATTTTTATGTGATAAAAGGAAGTCACAGGGTCTTAAGCATGTAGGAAATATGCTAACATTCCCCTCTTACAAAGAACAATATGGATACTATGTGTAAATAGACTATGTAGAGGGTCACTATGAAATGGGAGTTGTGACAGGGCCACAGCAATAGTCAAGGCAAGATTTTGCCCATTTTCTCTTTCATGTACTTATGGATTCAGGTCTGATGTTGAGGTCTTTTATCTACTTTGATCTGACTTTTGTGTACAGTGTTAGGTAGAGGTCAGAGTTCTTTTTTTTTTTTGCATGTAGCTGTCTAGTTTTTCCAGCACCACTTGTTAAAGGGACATTCCTTGCTCTATTTCATATTTCTTGCTCCCCTATCAAAGATTAGGTGATCGCATATTTGGGGGTCTGTGACAGGATATTCAACTCTATTCCATTGGCCTGCAGGTCTGTCTTTATTCTAATACCATGCTGTTTTAATTACTACCGCTTTGTAGTAGAGTTTGAAGTTTGAAAAAGTCACCTCTTCTTTTTTCCCAAGGACTGCTTTAGCTATTCGTGAGGGTTTATTGTTCCATATGAATTTGAGGAGTTTTTGATTAATTTCCAAGGCCAGGTAAAACAGGCTAGTAGGACTGGTTAATGGTTGGTCAATGGCGTGGAATATGAAGGGTAGTTAAGATAAAGGAGAATTCATTATGACAATATTAGTTGGAAATGATCACTCTGGACAAGAACTGAGTATTGAAAGCAGGTAAAGGGATATACATGATAACCTTCAGCATCTGTATTGCAAACCATAATGCCAAAAATGAGAGGGAGGGAGAGAGAGAGAGAGAGAGAGAGAGAGAGAGAGAGAGAGAGAGAGAGAAGAGGTGCCTGCCATAGAGGCAGGCTGGGGTTGGGGGGTGGCTTGAAGGGGTGAAAGGGAAACTGGGGACAGCGGTGCTGTGAAATTACACTAGTGGCGAGATAGGTGTTGGAACTTAGTATGACTGAAACACAATCATGAACAATTTTGTGATGCTCTATCTCACGGTGATTCAATAAAAAAATAATTAAAAAATATTCAAGGCAAGAACTGATGGCACTCTGAGTGAAGGCAGAGATGGTAGGATGTGGTCACATATGGCGTCTTTTGCGTAGAATCAGCCAGTAATATTTCTGATGGATTAGTATGAGAAATATTAGTGTGAGAAAAGCAAGTAACTAAGGAAGGCAGTCAGGTTTTTAGCTTGAGTAACTGGTTGAAAGGTCATACAATTTATTGATGTAAAGAAAGACCAGGAAGCAGTGATGTAGGGATGAGGGAGAGAAGTAATGGTTTTTACACATAAACGTGACGGGCTAATAGTATCTTAAATTTGAAGGTGAGATAATGTTGTAGGTCCAGATATATTATTTAGAGTCCTAGAACAGAATAAAAGCCTTTTGGGAAAAGATATGAAAATACATGAGAATGGGTCCTGGGAATAAATTGAATACAAGAGGAAAAATTAGCAAAGAAAAAGGATTTTAATATATTGGAGGTAAAGTGAAAACTTACTTTGGAACCCCCATCAAATAGTGATATAAAAAAGAGTGAGCAACAGAAAATTGACTACAGATTTGTCAACATGGAGTTTGACAAGCACTTTTTCATTGGATGGTCCTCTGATGAACTTGGAATATAAGAAAATAAACAAAAATTTTTTTGGTTTACTTATTATTATGGATGCTAGAGATTGAACTCAGGTCTCCTGCATGCAAGGGATACTCTTTACTACTGAGCCATACACCCAGATGCTGGCTGTATTATTTAGTACAGAAGCACTGGAAAGTTCTGGCATATGCAAAACAAAATGAGAAATTGACCTATGTTTGGAGCAGAAGCAATTATAGTCTGGAATATAGATTAAATGGGTTATGATGAAGTGAATAAAATAGCAGTAAAAGATGAATCTTTTATTTTTTGTTAGTTTCTTATTCTTTTGGACAAGGAAGCAATGGCACCCACTGAAGGTCGAATTTTCAGAGGAAGAGGCATTTGAGGAGAGAGACGTTTGAATAATTAAATCTGAAGGTGGCTGATTAGGAAAATTTAAGAGAATTGTCTAGTCACCAGAGAGATTTGTTATTAACTAGTGTGGCTATGGGGTTTTCTATATCTACATTTAGTTGCTCGAGCGGGCCCAGTAACGTCTCCATTGGAGACTTTGTTGTTACTGTGTCTGGCATATCGAATACTCTCGGTAGCTTGCCGGGCTCTCCGAGAGGGGCGGAGGAATCGAACTCGGGTCGGCCATGTTGGCTGCGTGCAAGGCAGACACCCTACCCGCTGTGCTATCGCTCCAGCCCTAGTTGCTCAAGCTACCCGTGACGTATTCAATATGCCAAACACAGTAACAACAAGTCTCAAAAAAAATGGAGACGTTACTGGGCCCGCTTGAGCAAATCGATGAACAATGGGAGGACAGTGTGACAGTGTGACATTTAGTTGCTCAGGATTGAAAGAAGGTGGAAGACATTTTGATTTAACTAGGTTTGTAGCGAGCTGAGAATGTGGCTCAGTGGTAAGGGTCTGGGTGTGATCCCCGGTACCACACCAAAAAAAAATTAATAAAACATAACCAGAACTGTGGTTCTAAAAGGCACCTGTAGTGGAAGGAGAAGTGTACATGAGATCTTCGGGTAGATGTGCTGGTGTGATTAGAAGGCTAGGCAATAAGAGTCTAAACCTAGTAAGGAGAGAAGTAAGGACATAAGGGAATGTAGGGTAATGACAAAGCGTGGGTCCAGAAAAGGAGGTGGCAGTCTTTAGAATGGTGGGTTGTTGAAGTAGTAATGAGGAAGAATTAGGGAAACTGATTACCTCAATAATATAGAGTTTGTGGATAGAAGTGATTAGGGAAACATTAATCTCGGAGTTGAAACTTGATTCGAATTTCCATTTAGAGGAAAACATTCATCTCATGGCCAAGCAGAAGAGATTGCTTTCACATGCTGAGCAGTGGTTCTGCTTTTGTTTGCAGTGGTGGTGGCTTTGCTCAGAGAAATGGCTAAGCACCCAGAGTGATTTGTGAAATGAAGTTTCAAGGGGCAGGTGTAAGAGAGGGGCAAGACTGAAGGACTGGGGAGATTAAAAAGAAGAAAATTCTAAAGTTGGTATAGGATGTGAAGAGGAACAAATGAGCTTCAGAAGGAGGGAGTTTTATGGAGTGAGGAAAGTGAGATAAAATGGGCCGATTCTCCCCTTTGTTGGCTTCTACTGATAGACTGATAACCTAAAAATGAGTAGTCGGCCATATACAAAGGAATTCTGTATTACTTTTCAGCTCCTTGGGTACGTCTTCTCTGTTTCGCGTGTGTTTTGGATCATCTTCCATTTCTTTTGTAGTGATGCTGTCTTGCCACCAGGCATTCTAGTTAACTATCTTTAATCGATGTGAGTAATGGAGCAAAGGTGGCTCTTTTCAGCCCGTGGTAGAAGGAAAGGAAAAAGAAAGGAAAGAAAGTATACCCTGCAGGATATGGGGAGTCAACAGTCAGTAAGTGACAAATCTAAATTGGGCAGTAACAGACTATATGTCCTAATGACATGAATGGCATGAATAGAAGTAAATGTCTGTAACTGAGTTAAAAAATGGTTTCTGTTTATATTTACAGTAATATATTTTATGATTTCAAAATTTGTCTTGCAATCAATGAAAAGATTGTTTTTTATGAATTTATATTCATGTTTTAGGAGCATGTATTGAAATTAGAAATTTTGCATTCATCAAGAATATGTATCTTGGGCACCATTTTTCTAAGAATTAAAGTTTAACTTAAGATTTTATTTTTGGAACTGACACATAAAAACATTCAAACTCATGGATTTCTAATTTTTTCCCAGTTACAACAGATGAAATAGCATACTGTATATTATTATAGGATTTTGTTCTTTGTGTGCATGTATGAGAAATAGAATATAGGGCCTCATACATGCAAACTAAGTGTTCTACCACAGAGCTACATAATCAGAGGGTAGACGTGTTATTTCTTGTAAGTTTTGGTATTAATTTATTCTCTTCTAATTTTGAGATATTTTAATATGAAAAATTTCATATTTGAGATGATTAAGTCCCTTCATGGTTTTCTAATTAGGGAGTTATAATTTTTTTGTGAGCATGTAACAGCCATTTGACATTGTGATATAATTTAATTTTTACAAATTCATTATAAAAACTGTTACATTCCAATTAGATGTTATGTAATAAAATCTGTTACATAATATCTAATCAGATACCTATATTTGTGTGAGGGAGCAGTAAGATTCTTCAGTCAGACAAACCTATGTTGGAATCAGTTCATCTGCTGGCAAGTTATTTAAACTTCTGAGGTCTAGTATCTTAATGCAATAAGTACAGATACCATAGAAAATCCTCAGAGAATGGTTGGGATGATTAAGGACATGACACAAGTGAGTGCTCAGCAAAAATTCTGGCAAAATGTGAGTGCCAAGTACTACTAAGACCAAAAATAAATTTAAAAAAAGAGAGGAAGAAAAGAGAAAGAGAGATAGAGAAAGAAGGAGGAGGAGGAGGAGGAGGAGGAGGAAGAAGAAGAAGAAGAAGAAGAAGAAGAAGAAGAAGAAGAAGAAGAAGAAGAAGAAGAAGAAGAAGAAGAAGAAGAGGAGGAGAAATGTGAGTAATGGTTGACCAGACGGAAGGAATATAAAACTACATGGAAAACATTGAATGGATTGTGGTGAGTTTACACACACACACACACACACACACACACACACACACACACACACACTCACTCACTGGTATACCCATTCTTTAGCTGCTTAGTATGGTGGTTTATAGCTGTTTCCCTCTGTGAAGAACTCTTTCTCATAGATAAATCCTCTCCCTGATAGCCTTAATCCCCATTCATGGTGGAAAACCTAATCCAGTAACTGACGGAGAGATATGGGGCATAGGACTGGTTTGATTTTCTTCATGGTATGATCAATTCTGTTTTGTTTAGGAGAGTCAGACAAGTGTTTCATTCGTGCTTCTCTAATTCTATACAAAATGACTTCACAGACCACATAACTGGTAGAACTTCGAAAGTTTTTTTTTTAAATGTGTTTTTATGATATAGAAAGAGCTTTCAAGTCTATACAGGACTAAAAACAGGAATAAAATAAAATAGAATAACTTAGGTTATATAAAATTTAGTTCAGAATTTAGCTCATAGTTAAAAAAAGAAGAGACACATTAAACCATGTGACTAGTATTAGTAATACATTTCAAGAGTGCACAATATAAAAATATTTTGAAGAAGAATGATGTGATGTGGGCCTTCACATGAGGCCTGCTGGGTGGCAGTGAGCGGTTTCCCACTCACAAATGCAATACTGTATTTTCTCTGGTCTTTTCTCACAGCATATTTGTGGAGCACTTTAAACTGAATTGCTATTCCTCCCAGAGGCTGAGATCAGGAAGATTCAATGGCCTAGTTTCATAGAAGTTTGAATTAGTTCATAGATATATTCTTGGTTCTCTGGTCTAGAGGAAGGACAATGTGCATGCTTCTCTTCTTGTCTCTATCTCTGCACCCAACCCAATTCTTCCAAGCAGTGTTTACAGAAATTGAACAAAAGGCAGGGATATTCCAATGTTTTCTTGTCATTTGTCACTTTTGTTTTGATCTTCCAAAAGAAGTTCTTATAGATTGTTTGCTTGATAAACCTAAGGTGTGTAGTGTGTTTATTTACATATGCTTCGTTCAGTTCTGTTCACTCCTGAGGAACAATAGGTTCAACAGTAAATTGGGGGCCTGGGGATAGATTAGGCCTAGAGCACCTGCCTTGCAGGCATGGGTCTCTGAACCACACTGCTATTTGTGATTCCTGGTGCTGCAGAATTGTTCATCGCGGACAAACACATGACAACCAAGCATGTGTAACAAAAAGGGAAAGAGAAGGGGGAAGGATGTAAACAGGGGGTTTGGAGTTTATAGAGGGTGGTATACATGCTAAGGTTCATGGATAACATCTCAAATGCATTATGGTAAAGGTAAGCTCAGGAGAGATATTACATGTCATTTTCACTCTGGTTCTAAATTTGTTTCTAACAAAAGTCAGGAACTATTTCCTTTCTAATGCAGAAGAAGATGAACCAACAAAACTGCGGGTCTTGGGAAAGAATGTTCCCCTTCTTCCAAGAAATGTTTTTGGAGGGTGGCCTGGATTGTTTTCCTTTAAGATTTTCTAGAGTGAACAGATGTAACAATTTTCTATAATTTGCCTTGGTGCAGATGCTGAAATAGAGCATTCACAGTAAAATATATGCAGTATATGTAATTTCAGCTGGATGTTCTGGGGTTTTAAAGTAAAAATGTGTACCTGCAAGCTGTTTTATGGCTTCTCAGTCATAATGATCTCTGTTACACAGAAGGCTACAACTGCAACTTCTTCATGAGCAAGTTTTCCAAAAATACCTCTGTAATTTTGCATATTCTGCAAGGCACAGAGTGCTCGCTGGGTTTGGTTTGGGACGTGTGTAAAGATGCTTAATTTCTCCTTGCAAGAAATTTATGATGCAATCATATCCACGGGGAGGATGGTGCATGATCTGTGGAAGCAGCACTTGCAGAAGGTACAGTACCTAGAATGGGTGTCAAGTCATAAATGCTGCAGAGGAGCTCCAGCGAAGGTTATGTACAGTGTGTTTACAGATAATGTTTATTTATCAAAACTGCATTACTAGACTGATAGAATGAGTGTAAATTGTTGAGGAAGGTGGTGAGAATTTTTAATAGCTGAAGCTTGCTACCTGCCACTAGGGAGTCTATGCTAGCTTGTGGCATTCCTCAAGGGATGGATAAGGAGAGGGGCTGGGGTGTCACTGTGAATTCAAATCCCCAGACAGTCAATGAGTGAACGCTCTGCTGCTTACATCCTCTGCCAGCTCATGATTGACCCTCCCTCCAATTGTCGGCCCAATCCACTACTTACTTCATGCATCTCTGCTGCTCAGAAATATATTTTTCCACAGTAATTAAAAATGAACTGCGACTAGTGCCTTTCATCACACAACACACCCTTGTTGAGACCCCTCTGTTACGTTGTTCAATAGTTACCATTAGGGTTCCATTGGTCCTCTCCACCCAACACGAACAGGAAGTTTTCTACCTCCACGACGCAGTGGTGAGCACTGTTGTATGGCATAACTGGAATAAAGAAAGAAGGAAAACAAAGAAAGGTGTGACGTTTTCATCTTAGGACTTGGTACCTTTGCTCAGTTGTTTGTTTTCACCAAAGTGGACAAAATGAGAAGCAAAGTCAGAAGAAAGAGAAGAGCGCAGGCAGCAGAGCGTGCACCCACCAATCCACAGCGACCTGCCGTGTGCTCACTATGATCTCAACCCAGCCCCCTTTGAAGAATTTTACATAATGTTATTCTGAAGATTATTCAAGAACATCCCGTCATGCTGCTTTTGATTCTTAAGTTCGCCTCACCTGCCTGCTGATGGGGATCACGTTCTAAAACAACGGCTGACACTCCCAAATGGTCAGGGTTGGGGGGTATTTCATGGTACAAATACCTCTGCACATACTTGGAGCCATTAAGATGCACTGCCCCAACTTGGTTTGCTGGCAATCTTTTCATAAACAGACTCTGGGTGCTTGGGAGCTTTCTATTCCACAACAATGAGCAAGCTGAATTTCCATACAGTTTTAAGTTTTTAAATTAAGGTCCTGCTGATTTAATGCCTTTTCCAAATGTATACGCTTAATTTCCTGTACAATGTCATTAGCAGCACAATCCCACATTTTCTATCTATCTGCATCGGAGCTCTTCTGTAACAAAGATAAAAACTGTCAGGAGCATCACAAATATCTATTTCACTCATCTGGCCCTTCTCCCTGCTCTAATTTGATGGCTACGAGGAGGGGATACTATTCAGAAACCCACTACAGCCCGTATTCTATGCATTTTCCTTCATCTGCATTTTCTTGGGGGACAGACACCACATGACAGAGAAGTGTAATCCTATGTGCACTGCAGTATCAGTTTCTGCTATTTTAATGTCATATGGTAAGTGCAAACGTATGCAGCATTAGTTATCATACCACATACAGTGGTTTGGGCCCAGTGACACCAGTAGGAAAAATGATGTCCTTGTTCAGCTGATCATATGGGCACCTTAAATCTAGGTGAGGACAAATGGGGAGGTGAAGTGCATGTTCAGGCAGGGAACTTATTGCTTGACACGGATCAACAGAGCACTTAAGAAACCAGTGCAGTGGGAAATCAATATGAGTCAGGGCCAGCTCTTACTCTGTGCTCTTCTGCCAATGCTGAGAGGAGACAGAGAGAGAGAGAGAGAGAGATAAAGAGAGAGAAAGAGAGAGAGATACAGTCAGACAGACACACACCAGACACAGACAGACTATATCATACTTGATTTATTTGGGAAGATGTGCTTCACTCACTTAATTTTGTTTTTAATCTTCTATTTTTTTTTCCTGAAAATGCACTTATACTGGCTCAGTTATGTAAATAAAACTAATAAATATTCATAGCCTTGAAACCTATAACTTAGCTTCTGAAACACAAAATCAGATCAAGCTCCTTGCTAACAAATTTTAAGTTTTAATATTTAATTTTTTTTTGTTCCTATTCAGTGATTTTTGAGCGTAAATACGCAAATTACAGGGCATTGAAACAGACTCCTTTTTTGGGATTTGTAAAAATTTGGTGATAATGTAGAAATCAGATATTCAGCGAATTTGTGTGGCTCATTAATTAACTGTGTGGACTAAAGGAGTGGTCTTGGGATTGTCTTTTGCCCTGCAATCTTCAGTTATCTCTTTGTAAAATGCCTTTAATTAGAAAGGTCCTCCAAGTACCAGTTCTTAGTCTACAGGGGCAGAGTATTTTTTGGGTTCATTGAGTCCAGTTTTATAGTAAATCCCAATCTCTGATAACATAGCAACCCTGATGTTTAGATCTTGCCATTCATTTGTTCCCACTGAGGCAAGCAGAAATTAAGTGAAGTAAATAATTCATAATTTATTCTTAAGCTTCTTTCTCCTTTGATCACTTCCATTGTTATCCTTCATGCAAACAAAGGATTCTATTGTACCAATAGAGTACATTAATTCATTAATTAATAAAATAATTTTATTAATTCATTAATTTCATTAATTCATTAATTAATGAAACCTTCAAAATGAGAGAAGTTCTTTGAAAGCCCAATATGGAGCTACTTGAAAATTTTTATCATTTATCTACATATTTTCATTCTTGTTTTAAAATCTTGTAGGCCATATTTCTTGATTACTTTGGCATTCTTAAATTATTTTCCTCTGAATTACTACTGTAAATCATGAGGCTATAAATAAACACAAACTCAAGTTTTTCTGCATGTAAAGTACTCGGGTTTATTAGAAAATAATCTAAATGAACATTCCCACATTTAAAAAGTAACATAAATTGAAGTTTTGCCAAGATCTGATTTCCTTGACTTCTGATTAAACCCAAAGGAAAAGCAAAATTAATAGGGCAGCGAGCAAGAGCAAACATCTGTTTAAAATGGCACCGCGCTCAGCATGTACTGATCATCTTTTAAATAGCCAGGGACACGTGTCTGTCTCTATAGATTTCTCTAGAGGTGATACAGGCCTTGCCCTCACAAACAGGTACTGGAGAAGAAGTTTGTACTCCAGGTTCATATACAGCCCAGTGTGAGCTTTTTAGCGTGTCAGTCAGTGAGTTAGAGGGAAAGGGTAAAGAGAAGCTAATCAGGATGAAATGAGATTAAAGGCTGTCTAATTTTACAGCAACTGTGATCCATCAGCCACTGTGAAAGTGACAGTGGAAATGAATGATGGAGACAGACAGGTGGGGCTGTACATTTCACTGATTTATCCTCAAATGCACTGGGCCTTATTTTATTGAGTGAACATGACCGCATTTATCATGACTGTCATCTAAACCCACTTCCCTCCATTTAAAAAGGTCACTTTACTCAGAAGGAGCAGGAGAGAGGCACTTTCAAATCAGATTTAAAATGTAATAACATGTGTTTATAAGGCCTTTATGAGAAATCTCAACTTAACTGAACAAAGTGGTAAAGGAAAGGGAGAACGGAAAAGCAGGAAATTGACATGAACCTTTGGCCAGCAAAAGAAACATGTTCATTTAGTTTCTAAATTTAGAGCAATTCCCACTGAAATTCTATCCTAAAATGGGAATTTAAATAAGGCATTTAAATTTAATATTTTAATTAAGATAGTAGATAGCAGATAATAGTGTAAAAGAAGTGTGGAGACTTAAGTCACAGTATTTCTCTGCAGAATGACTAATCACTGCACACTTAATAAATGGTAGCAATTGGTACAAGCTGAGTCTCTACCACAATTCACTTATATACCTGTTAATTGTTTTCCCATAATTTTAAGGCCATAAAAAAGGCTTAGTTATAAGTCTTTTACATTCCCTGTCCTAGTGCAATAAAATGTTCTGGAATGTTATGCACAAAATTGGTCTTTGTGCATACGAAAACAAAGAGTTGAAACCCTTGCTTTTTGCAATTGTATTCATCACTTGCCAGCTATTTACTATATGATAGGCTCTGTGCAGGTGTTTTTGATCTATATCTCTATAAATAAAATGTGCTATCACATTTATATGTGGCTGTCTGTATTATGTTTAAAATTATAACAACATATGTTTTGTTCTTTCCATTCAGTTATTCCCATTCAGGCAAGCCAAAACTAAGTGAAAGAAATAGATTCTAATATATGATTTATATACCTATATTTTAATATCTTTCTATGAATATCACTAGCTGCAAAAGAGACATTACTCATTCATCTCATTTATGTAAGAAAGACTGAGGCCTTCAAAGGTCAAGTCACTTGTTGAAGGTCATACCCAACTAATGAACAGCAGAGATAGAATCCAAACACGAGGATAACTGGATCCCAACTCACGCTCGTATCCATTTCACTCTACTGATTTTCAATAGGTATGCTCATCCAACCAACAAGTAATTACTGAGTACCTGTGTGTTCAATGATGGTGCTCCTGAATTTTCTGTATAATTTTTGTATTGAATCACATTTTAGATGTTTATTATTTTTATATTGAAAGGAATTCTTAATTAAGGCTACTGCACACGCCTTTGCATTTTTCCTATAAATATTTTAAAATCTGGTTTTATGAAAGTAGAGTACATTTGTTTGATGGAGTCCAAAGAACTCTAAGCAGACAATTCAGCTAAATCTTGGTAGATTCTATTAGCAGAGAATTTTAAATTATTTATTTTTTTAAACAATGAAGGCATTTTTCAACCTTGTAAGCCTAGTAGAAGTATCTTAGACACAGAGGCCCTTTTTCTGGAATGTAAAACATGGACTGGGCTTATGGTATTCATGAAGGCTTTATTTACTAGGCAGTCACAATTACTATTTCTTTCCACATTTCATATCTAATTCCTTAGGTGTACTTTTGCCACCAGAAAATATAGGTATCATTCTCAACCACAAATTTTCATGAACTTTCAAACAGGATTGCAAAGGGGTTATGCAAAATTGATAGTAATGCTAAATAAATGATTACTGAATATTTATCATTTTGAATTCCTTAATGTCTTTTGGGCCTCAAATAAATAAACTTGCAAAACTGACAAAAATGACATACTTCTTAATTTAAAAAATAATAGTAAAAAGATAATTTTGGTAAAAAGATCATCACAAACCAGTAAGATATCCCTCTTCCCCTTACCCCCAGCCTTGGGTTCTCTACCACAGAGACCATCAATGTTAGTTACTTTGTCTTTATATTTTACTTCCAGAAATATAAAACAAAAATCTTTCTTTCTTTCTTTCTTTCTTTCTTTCTTTCTTTCTTTCTTTCTTTCTTTCTTTCTTTCTTTCTCACACTTTCTCTCTTTTTTTTTTTCTGAGTAAGCCAAGCGGTTCTTAGGGCGTACTCCTAACTCTATAATCAGGGATCACTCCTGGCGTGTCAGGGGACCATATGGGTCAGGTCAGGCCTTTGTAAGGAAAATGCCATATCAGTTTTACTATCTCTCCAGTCCCTTGTTTTCTTTAATACAAACGGCAGCAGGGTACTTTGGACACACTGTGAAGTTTCCTGCTTTCTGTGTACAAGAATACATTCAGGAGCCAGATAGTTCAGCAGGTAGGGTACTTGCCT